GCGGAGCCCAAGCCGGCGGCGGGAGGAGGCAGTGCAGGGCGCGTGAGTGATGTGGCGAGCGGGAGGCTGTTACTTGGGTCTCCGGGAGGTGTTTCCGTGTGAGCAGAGGGAGCGGCTGGAGCTGGTTCCCCCACACCCCGCAGGGTCCTGCGCTGTCTGACGGGTCACGGGCGGGCGTTCCAGCTTTCCTCGATTCACCAAGCTCCTGTAGCAATGTATGATGAAAGTCGAGCTCAGGTCACAGCCTCCCCTTTCCCTGGGGAAACTACTGAGTCTTTGACCTCAGGGTTATTTTCTTCAACTTCAGGTCATGTCTTTGACTTCGGGTTTATTGTATTTGACTTCAGGTCATGTCTTTGACTCACCCAGGATCCTGGTGGTTATATCCCGGAGGGGATATATCCCCCCATTTCCAGCCTGTCCCCTGAAGGAGAGGGGCTGTTTGGCCAGCAAGCACTGCAGGGGCTCTGTCCCCCACCCCGGGGGTGTATATCCCCCAGGAACAGCAGGGGAGGCACACGAACCATGTAGCTGTTAAATGGCCATGCGTAGCCCCAGGGCCGGCGGGAGAGGCAAGGATTTGGGCTCGTGTCTCTTGGGGGTGCTGGCCCGGAGTGTGGAGCGCTGCAGGGACTGGGGACCGCAGCGTGTCTCGAGGGGTCGAGCTGCAGTCGCAGCGCTGCACGCTGTGCCTCGGCTTCCCAGCCCTCGTATCGGTCAAATCCAGCCCCACGGGTGTTTACTGTGTGGGGCTTGTCCCTGGCTACTACACAAACGTGCTGCTTATGATTTCCTTCTGCTTTTGCTTAGATGCCTCACTTGAGCTAATGCCAGTCCTGCTGAGGATGTCCATGGCCCAGGCAATGAGCCCAAAGAGATCTGTGGGAGTTCATACAGGCCGGGGTCCATACTGGAATTTTTCCCCAGAAAAATCCCTCCCGGCTCTGTCTCCAGCCCTGGCACACGGGCAAGTCTGCCCTGAGGTGGGCTGCAGGCCGACAGCCCCGCCGGGTAAAGGCCCCAGATAGAAGCATCTTGGTGATCCCTTCGGACACCTCAGGCAGATGCACCAGGCGTGGCCAGGGGTGGTCTCATGCCTCCAAAACCCAAACCCAGTGCAGGTTAAAAACAACCATCTCAGACTTTGCCTGGAGCCTCATGAGGAGTTGGCAACTGTCTGCACTGCTGCCGGGGGTGGAGGTGTCTCTCTGTTTCACCTTCTCTCCGTCTGAACTCATCTCTCTCTTGCTCGTGGAACAGGACTGACCTCCCACCCGTGTTTCCCAGGCCAGGTCTGTGCTGCTGCCTGGGAAGCCGGCAGGATGGCTCGGAGGATGAGCATCGACGAGCTGGAGGACCAGCTCCTCTGCCCCATCTGCCTGGAGGTCTTCAAGGAGCCCCTGATGCTGCAGTGTGGGCATTCATACTGCAAGTCCTGCGTGGTGTCCCTCTCGGGAGAGCTGGACGCGCAGTTCCTGTGCCCCGTGTGCCGCCAGCGCGTGGACTGCAGCGCCTCGCCGCCCAACGTCACGCTGGCCCGCG